GATCACCCCAGGGCCTAGGATCGAACTTGCACCAAAGTGGCTACAGCCAGCTTGCAGTGCTATGTCCTAATCCACTGTGCCACCAGGGTGGGCCCGTATGCAATGTTTATCACCAAGCCCGGTATTACTGATATGCACAATGTATACAGCAAAATCTAGGAATTAACATCACAAAATTCTCCATGTCTGACATCCAGGTAAATATTGCCAAGCATCACAAGAAAGCAATTTGTACCCTATCCAAGGAAAATGAACAAACAAGAGAGTCCCCAAAATGTCAGAGATGATGGAATTACTAGAAGGCACTTAACAGAAATTGCTCTGAAGAGCAATGAAAAGAATGTTCCCCGTATACTTGAAAAATTTGAGGTTGAGGAGAGAAACAGGAATACAAAGAAGACTCATGTGTGAATGCAAGAGATAAAACCACAATAAATGAGCTGAAAGATAAACTGCAAGAAATTAAGAGCAGATTGAATTAAAAAAAAATCAGAGAGCCAGAAAACTAAACTACCCAAATGACACACAGAAAGGGAAAAGAACAAAGCTCCCATTATGTGGAGATGAAACAAGCAGCACACATTCGGGTCACAGCAGCCCCAGAAGAGGGGACCAGAGAGACCCACTGTAGAGGTGGGGTAGCTAGAAACGGTTTCAAACAGCAGACCACGGAGTCAAGGCCTCGACATGCCCCAAAGCAGAATGTCACCACAGCGCATCATATTCAACTGCTAAAAGTCAGAGAGAAAGTGGGAGAAGGAGCTAGAAAAGCAGCCAGAAGGAAAACAGACCATTAGATTTAAAAAAGAATGAGCAATAACAGACTTCCCATCAACAGCCATTCAGTAAAGAAGAAAACACAAAGATGTCTTCAGAAGACGAAAAAAATAAAACATCAACCAAGAATTCTTTACTGGAGGAAGCATCTTTGACAGTTTAAGGTGAACTACAGACGTTCTCAAACAAAAGCGAAAGAGCCCCTGGCCGGACGGTGGACTCTAAGAGACGGTAAAGGACGAGCTTCAAGCTGAAGACCGGCCAGACGGAACACGAGGTTGCCCAGCGATGGACCAGGGCCAGGACCGGCCGGCCCAGGCGACACAGAGACAGCCCGCCTCTTCCTGCCCCGAAAGCGTCAAAACACCTGACTGCAAAAGCAAAAGCTAGGGCCATGTGCCACTGAGCCCACAGCGCATGAAGAAAGAAGACAGCAACAGGCAAGACTGCAGAGGAAAAATGTCCTTTACTCACCAACGTGACTAGAAGGTCCTAACGAACGACCACGAGTCCTCCAGACTTGAGTTCCTGTAGCAAGATCACAGACTGCAGAAAGGAGCACACAGCTGGGTGACAAAATGTTTACAGCGCCTTTCTGACAGCGTCAAAAATATGAAATGCTTAGGGTTAGACTTAAGAAAATACGTGCAACGAGAGAAAGCGTTAAAGAAATTTTAGTGCAGCGAGGGCCGCAGAAAGGGAGGCCACACACCGTGGCCAGCACCTGTGGCAAACCTCTGAGCCTGCCGCTCACGTCTGCCTGGAACCTAAATCTGCTCTGCAAAACTAAAGCTTATTTTTAAGAACTAGCTATACCATTTTCATGGATCAGCAGACTGAATATCGCTGAGGTGCCCACTCCTGCCACATTTGCCTTTCAATTCAGTGCAACCCCAATCTACAGCCCAGTGATCAATCCTGTGAAAATCAATAGCTGCATCTACATTTATCTGGAAATGCCATGGCCCTAAAAGCCAGAACAGCTTGGAAAAGCAAGCACAGTGGCATGACTCACGACTCCTGACTGGGGATTTACTACCAAGACTCGGTGATGGTGGCTTCAGGCCGAACACGTGGATTAATGGAACATGAGAGAGAATCCATAAATACATCTGCAAATCTAAGGCCAATTAATTTTTTACAAAGGTACCAAGGTAATACAACTCAGCACACAGAGCCAGGAGAACTGAATAAACACGGAGGGGAAGCGAACCTTGGTCCTTACTGAATATAAAATAATTAACTCCAAATAGATTATAGACATCGAGTCACAGCACAAAATGACAGAACTTCTACAAGAACGCCTCTGTGCTCTCCGGCGGGGCAGGGATTCCTCGGAAAGCACCAGAAGCCAGCGGCCCACGAGGAGGAACCGGGAATGGCGGAGGGCTCAGCGAGCCGCACCCCGGAGGGGCGGGGCGCCACGGAGCACCTGGACGGGCACGCGCCCACCCACAGATCCCACCACGGGTCTGTCCCGAGGGGCACGGAGGTCAGCGGCGGCTACGAAGCGCGGGCCCGAGGCAAACGCGAAACGTGAATGACCCACGCGCAGGCCCGGCTGTGGCCATCGTTAGTGCCGGACGGGGGCAAGTCGGGAAGCCCGGGCGCCACCCAGACGAGGGTCCCCTGAAGCCGCCACTCCGCGCCCCAGGACGTGACCCAGTGGGGCTCCATCCTGGCTGGTGGGGCGCGGCCCCCACAGCTACTAACGCGGCCCGGCAGCGTCTGGGAAAATAAAGACGCTTGCCGCGACCGGCCGGGCCTCCGGCCGCACCCCGAGGGCGCTCCGCAGCCCACAGCAGCTGGCTCACAACTGCCCCAAACTGCGGCCAGCCTAGTCATCCCCACCCCGAAGGGGATGAGCCTGTTGCCTCACACAGCGGCTGGGCGCGTGACCCCCGGGAAGGGAAGCGGTCGCTCAGCAATAAGGGGGCACTAACGGCTGCCATGGACCCCCAGAGGCTCTCAGAAGGTGGCGCCTGGAGTGGACATTTCACACCCCGGCCAGGGCAAGGCCCAGACTGCTGACGCCCACTGGGAGGCGAGAGATGATGACCGGAAACCAAGCCCAGACACGCCCTGGGGGCTGGGCTGTGGGGAGGGGGCCGGTCAGTCTTGAGAAAGCAACTCCGGCCAGTGCAGGCTGGCAGCGCCCGCGAAGAGGAGGGCCGGCTGCGCCCCTGCAGGACTCCGCACCCCGGCACCCCAGCAGAGGCGAGCAAGAGGGGACCCGCTCCGCCCGGCACACAGCACTCCTGAGCCGCCCCGCCCATGAGAACTGGCGATTTTTTTGGCACTTGTAAGGACAGACCGTGGAAACGAGAGCAGCCGGCGATGATGTCTGTGCCGTCTGGCGACCATGCAGGTCCCTGCTGTGCCTGTGTCTGGACTGTCTCAGGAAGGGCGCTGCTGGGGACGTCACCACCTCAGACTCGTCTCCTGCTCTCTGGGAATTCGCCGGACGGCACCCTCCCCCGGGAAGGGAAGCGGTCGCTCCCGCCACAGCTGGCCCTCTGCGGGGCCGCAGCTAGGAGAGGCGGGGTCGGGGGCAGTGGGCGCTCCCCACGCGGCCCGGTGGGTGGGCGCCGAGTGCCGCCTTCCGGGGGCTCCGCGAGGCCAGACTTCACACGGAGCCACCGAATCCCGACCACGTGGCCACACTAGAATTAGTTTTAAGTGGAAAGGTGAGAAAAAATAAACACAATCAGGCACGCCCCGCGAGGCCCTTTATCGGCCAGACGCGAGCAGAGGCCGCGCAGGACGCGAACCGGACCAGCAGCTTCACCAGGACCCCGCGCCGGGCCCTCCACTGGGCCCGCCATCCTGCCACGGACTAGGTGAGCCGCCACCCGGGCCAGCCCCGGCGCCCACGCCACCCCGTGCTCTGTCGCCACGCGGCCTGGTCGGAGGCGGCCTCGGAGGCGGTGCGCGGAGTTACGAATGTGCACGCGCCTGACCAAACCAGGAGAACGGATTCGCGGAGGGCTGGCGAAACGGGTCATTTCCGGAGCTTCCATCAGCCACTCCTCAATGGACGGTAAGTCTGTGCAAGGCCTTCCGTGGTTTGGCGGAGCCACGGCTCCCCTCCCTGGTGTGTTACGTAGAGTGGCTTCCTTCTTCCGCTAGTGGGCTCGGAGGGCCGAAGGCACGCGCCCCAGTCGGGCCCATCGCCAACGGTGAGACGGCGCACTCCCCCGCCCGACACAGAAGGCACGCTCCAGATCCTGTGCTGGCTCCCGGGGGTCCTGGCTGGCGTACCCACATCTCAGCAGCCAGCTGCACGGGCAGGCGTCCTCTCTCCACATGCCACCCTGGGACGGGACGTGCTGGCGCATCAGCTGGCGTAGCAGGGCCCGGGCAGTGCACACTCTCGGACCGCAAGTCCTGGCGGCTACGGATGGTGCCGCTTGCTCGGGCAGGGTCGGCTGACAGGCCCCTCACTCGCGAGCAGCCGCCTTTCTACACCGCGCATACGTGGAAATTCCGCGTGACTTGTGGCTTTGATCACGGCCCCAAGACCCGTCCTGATCTATGACACTGACTCACACTGGCGGTCAACGGGAAGCATTTACTTGGGTTGCCCCGTGCGGCCAGAGCCGCCCAGCGCCCCCCTCCCGCCCACGTCTCCCTTTCCCGAGGCCCACTGGGCTGGAGAAGGTGAGGGGCGCTAGAGTCTGTCCACGCGGAGGCAAACACGGGACACTGACTGGTGCAGTCAGACCTGAGGGAGATGCAGCAGTCGTGGGGTGACTGCACGAGTGTGGGGGTCTCTGCCTTCTGACTGCTGAAAACCTTTGAGGTGGCCAGACAACGCCAGCCAGCACGATGGGGGGCCCTCTCTCTGACAGCAGCAAGCTCCTGGCGAGGAGTGAGTTCCCCTCTCACACAACTGCACCCCGCAGCCAGCACCTGCTTGGAACGCAGAGGAGACCCAGCCCTGACCCGAGCCACTCGGCCACAGGCGACCCGCCTCGCAGGGCGTCCCGGCTCGCATTGGCGGGGCCGGCCCCGGGGCTGCCCTCAGCACGTTGCCGGAAGCCCCCCGAAGTACCAAAGCCCCAGGGCCAGCTCCGGCCCTCCCCTTCTCAGTCCCCTGCGTGGCAAGTGGCACAAATAATCCCCCAAACGAAACCCTGCTCGCAAGGCTCTCCTCTGGGACGTCTGCTTGGCCAGGAGCCTGGACTTCGCTGCGCCGACCCCCTCCTGCCCGCTCGGCCACTCCCGAGTCAACCGGGACTCTGACATCACACCTGGGGGATTCTGCTCAGAGCCCCCAAAGAAGCTGCCCGTGGCTTCCTGGGCTGTGCCACCAGCGTCTCCTGCCAGCGCCTCACAAACAACCTCCGAGGGAACCACTCCTCCCTGCCCTCACGCTCTGCCTCACCCTGGGGAGCAAGTGCTGCCCCTCCTGCTGTGCTGGCCACCGGGAGTGACCCTCAGGAGGGTGCGCCCCAGCCCCGCCGGGCCCCGCCACCTCATGCCCACCTGGGAGCGGCCTCTCCTCCAGCCACGCCCAAACTGGCCTCCCCGCGCCGCTGACCAGCTGAAGCCTCTGCCGCCCCCGAGACTGCGCCCGTTGGCCACGAGAGCATAGCGGGTTGCGTGGCACCGTGTCCACGGGCCCGGCGTGGCACTTAGCCCTAAGCGGCCCTTCACAAGCTGTGACGTCTCCGCGCGGGCGAGGAGACAGCGAGCGAACGCAAGGCAGGCCTCGGGGTGGCCCATCTGCACCTCACGCGCTGTGTGTGGGCGAGCGCCGCGGCCTCCTGCGCCCAAGGAACAAACAGCGACACCGCGCAGGGCTCCGGTAGTTACAAGCAAGGCGCCAGCAACCAACGGAGCTGGCAACGGCCAGCGCTGACACGCACCTCTGCCCGGGCCCTTCCTAAGACTTCAGCCCAAGCAGAAACGCCGGGGACTCCCTGCTGCCTCTGGGGGAATGCTGCGCCCCCCACACCCCCCAACGAGCACCCTTGTCCCCAGCCTCACTCAGGGTGCCTGGGAGTGCGCCGGCCCACCTGGACTTGGCACAGCCTTTCTCGGGGCTGACCTTGCCCAGCGGCACCCCGTGTCCAGCTCTCCCCTCCGTCTTCTGCCTGAGACCCCAGGTCGTCTGTGCCACCTCACCTCAAGCCGCCCCCCGCCCCCCGAGACGGCACAGCTGGTAGAGGCCCAGGCCCTCCTGCAGCCGGCCCCTCAGAGGAGCCGAGAAGCAGCTGTTCTCCACGGAGCGACTGTCCACGGAGAAAGTGCCCTCGTGGCTTATCCCGCCACACCCCGACGCAGAGGGTTGAGGCTATCCGGCTCTCGAGTCAAAACTTCTTTCTCTCACTGGCTAGATTTTGCTGCACAATTTCTGTTTAAGAGATTTAAACAAACTAAAATTCTTCTTAAACACAATTTCAGGGATGTGCTGACGTTCACCTGTTTGTCTCCCCGGAGGGGGAAAACCCCGAGCCACAGGGTAGACGCATTAAGACAGCGGGAGGGCGACAGCTGACCCACGCGGGCCTCTGGGCTCCGCCGCCCTCATCCCCTGGAAGGAAAGGGGCGTGAGTCGTTCGGTTTGGGGGCTTATTTTCATTCTCTTTTAAACGGAGTACTTTTTTCTCACGTCGTTGTTCATTTGGGGCAACACCTGGCTTCTCCCGCAGGTGGCCCCGTGGTCATCCCAGCACCACAGCGCCCACAGCCCATCGCTGGGGTCCTTCCGGGCACCAGTTTTATCCCCAACACACCAGAGAAAAGCCCCACTGCGTGAGCGCTGTCTCGGTGAGGAACTTCGATTGCTTCCGCAGGTCAGTTCTCTACAATTAGATTTGGTCTGTGCTGCAATGGCCTGAGGACTCTAAATGATTCTAGAAACAGGGCATCCGTTCACGATGGCTTCTTTTTGAAGTCAGCCAAATTTAATCAGAATCACAAAGTAAATCACCCAAGCCTAGTAATCCATTACTGTTACAGCAACAACATTAATCGAGCACCCAGATTCGACAAACTCAATGCAGGGCGTTGAGTTATAGAGAGATGACCCGTGTCCTACCCACGCGAATCACAGGCTAGACAGAGTGGTCAGCAAGGCACAGAGATGTGTCAGCCTAAGGAGAAGGCAGGCCCAGAACCACCCAAACCAAGCCCTGAGCCCCCAACACTGCAATAAGAGTATTTGTGAGGTGGATGTGGGGGCGTGTTGGGGGGTAAGAGTCAGAAGGAGAGTAGTTTGACCGCCAGCTCCATCGTTTATGATTTGTTCCAAAATGGCTGTAATATTTAACCTCTCTGAGCTTGGGTTTCATCATTTGTCAATAAGGAATAATCCAACCTACCTCACAGAGTAGCACCGTTAACAGTGAATCACAAGGTCTCTTATGAGAGCCTAGCAATGATGACAACCACAGTAATAAAATCACTGCCGATGGGCCTCCCTAGTGGCACAGAGGCTAAGTCTCAGCACAGGGCGCAGCAGGCCTCTCCGCCTCCCCGCTGCTCCCCTCAGCAGTGGACCTCAGTGGATCCGCCTATTTTGCTCCCTACTCTGTCTCTGGCGCACCCTCTCACCCCCTGCACCCCAGCTCCTGCATACATAAATAAGTAAGAATAAATCTTTTTAAAAACTAAATAATAAAAAATTAAGCACTGCCTATAACACCACACCAAACGCTGGGCTAAAATATCTTTGTGTATTATCTCTTTAACCCTCACATCCGTCCTATGGGGTCTCTTCCATTCTCACGTCACCTTCCATGTGAAGAAACTGAACAAAGTGACTAACTGGTCTGCACGCTGACATGGGTCAAGCAGGACCTCAGGCTCCTGTCTCCCAAATGCCTCCACGGGAAGGTGGGGCCAAGGGGACATTAATTATTGGGGGCTGGCAGGAGAAGGGCAGGCCCCCTATTATGGATAGTGAATGAACTGTGGTCATCAGCCCCCACCCCGTCCAAGCAGGAAGCCCCGGGGATGCCGAAGTTGCTTGCCTGCCGGGCGTATGTGCAGTAGTGATGGCTGCTGACTTCTCTACCGGCCAAGTCCTTAGCCATCTACGAAAGAGTACTGAAGGCCTTCGTGACAAGTCTGCACACCCAGCACTTGTTCTCATAGGGCCACAGCGACATCATTGTGTTTCCTGTGTGATCGCAAAGCTCCGTCTGTACATGTACACATGAAGAGCTATCAGCAGCTTGACCCGCAGGGAAGCAGTTGGGTTGTGGCCATCAAGCTGTGAAAAGCCCGACTGGCCCAGAGGGAAGGCACCTAGCAGAGAACAAGGCCCTGCCAGCCGCCGCGCCCACGCCACCCACATCGGGAAGCCGCTGGGGCCTTTCTGCTCCCCGAGTTCAGTGGTAAGAGGAGGCGCTTGTGTCTCACCTAGTCCGCCGCAGAATTCTCAGAAGGGCCAAACGCTGAGGGCTGAAGTCTGCGAGAGTGGGGGGGTTTGCTGGATAACGGCAGTCGGAAATCAGCTTTTCTAGTCAGTCAAACATGAAATGTAGAATGAGGCGCCTTCATGCTGTTTGACAAGAGAAAGGTTCCGCTCCTTCCATCCCAGATGCCCGCTGGCTCAGACAGGTCTCGGCCCCCCAGGCCCGAGGCTGTGCCTGGCTCAGCTGAATAAGATTAATGATCACATTAAGAGCGACAGCGCTGGCAGGTAATATCTACCAAGTGTTTACGACGTACGCAGGTTGGCGCTAAACCTTGCATTTACAGGACGGTCACTGAAGTCTCTCCGAGGGAAAAACGCCCTTTGAGGGGGGCCACCATATGCCTGTGATATGCCACTCGGAGGCGCCCTGGGGCTCCCGCTGGGGCACCGTCTTGGCCAGGCTCACGCGGCCAGTAGAGCGCACACAGGACTTCGCCTTCTGGACATCCGCTTCCAGAACCGCGGCCCTGGCCACCGGGGCACTGCCCTTCGCCCGTCTTTCACTTTCACTACGGTGTCTCCCTGTAGAAGAGCTCGCCTGCACAGGGTTGAAAACTGTGCCTGAGCCATGGTTCGTTTTCCGTAAGCACCAACTCTTGACGCCCGGGAAACTTGCAGGTGGGCCGGGAAGGGAAGGGCATCGCCCTGCACGTGCGCTACCCGTCAGGCACCCTGGGCCTGGGGGGTTACTAGTCACACATCTGTGTCCCCAGAGGGTGACCCCCTGGACAGCTGTTTCTAGCCCATCTTTGCAAGTCCAGGGCTTTGCACATGGCCTGGCCCAGCAAAATACGTGCCGGCCCCACTCGCCCGCCATCTTTGGACGGGCCTGGAGGCGGGGCCGGCGCTCGGGGGCGGGGCCGGGGCGAGCCCGCCCCACG